AAAGGTGATAAGTTGTTTACGTTTAGAATTAGATTCATTCTCTTGAAGTATTAAAATCTTTTAGATATTGTGATTTTCTTGTTAAAAATCGTATCTTTACCCTTTCAAATTTCAACCAAGTTGCTTAAGTTTTTCATAAAGTTTTCTTATATGGAGGATTGCTCCCTTCCTCAGGACTCATTGTTCCTAGGTTTTGATTGTTCCACTCAGTAAGTTATTCCATATTTCTAATTGAAAATTAGATAGCACAGTTGATCAAAATTTCTTCTTTTTTTTCCAACTTGAAGCAATATGCTTGCTTGCTTCTGCTTGTTCTTGAACTGGGTACTCCTGCAAAGTGTTCAAGAATCAAGAAAAATGATTATTTTAAAAATTGGATCTTTAACTGAAGAACTTATTTGGGTCTTGATTTCTTAGGTCACTGAAGGCAACTGTGTTAGATGCTTATCTTAACATAATTATATCAGAACTTGTGAACTATGATTCTGAGTTGCCTCACTACAATACCAAAGGTGGAGTCTTTAGAGACCAAATTGTTAATGGTAGAATTGTATCACCAACATTGATGTGGGTGGAAGCATTAGACCTAATTCTCCACAGACTTGAAATGTCAAATTTGAACTTTGGAAAAATTGCTGCTGTTTCTGGTAGTGCTCAGCAACATGGTAGTGTTTATTGGAAGAATGGGAGTTTTGAAATACTATCATCATTGGATCCTAAAAAACCACTTGTGGATCAGTTTCTTGATGCTTTTTCAATCGAAAAATCGCCCATATGGATGGACTGCAGCACAACAGAACAATGCAAAGCTATTGAGATAGCTGTAGGTGGTGGTCTGGAGCTGGCCAAACTTACTGGTTCTCGTGCACATGAAAGATATGTCGGTCCTCAAATTCGAAAGATTTTTGAAACACAGCCTGAAATTTATCAGAATACAGAGAGGGTATCCTTAGTTAGTTCTTTTATGGCGTCTTTACTTATCGGGGGTTATGCTTGCATTGATCAAACTGATGGAGCAGGGATGAATCTCATGGACATTGAGCACAGAACTTGGTCCAAGATAGCTCTGGAGGTTGTTTCTTGTGCTTGAAATCTAGTTTAATCATGTTACTGTAGTTAAATTTTAGTAGCTTACGTAAATGTTGCAGTTGATTGTGTTTGTTCTAGGCTACTGCACCTGGTTTAGAGGAGAAACTTGGGAAGTTAGCTCCTGCTTATGCTGTTGCTGGTTCTATTGCTTCCTATTATGTTGAGAGGTTAGCAAAAATGGACATGCTATTTACAAAATTTTGTTGCCTTCTACAATAGTTTTTCCATTCTAGCCTTTGCTTCTGTTCATCATCTTTTATATCTGATTCTATGAAGCTATCTCGTTTCTTCTCAAGAGTAATGTTTCTTTCAGTATGAGTATTCCACCCTTCATTTTAGCTGATTGGCATTCCATCGACCACAAAGGTACAGTTAAGGTCTGCGTACACCCCACCCTCCCCAGACCCCACTTGTGGGGTTATACTGTGTTATGGTTGTTGCTGCAGTATCCTATCAAAGTTAAGCTACTACCAAAGGTAACCGCACTAATATTTGCCATCTGGAGTATCACTGTGAATATTTTCTGCCTTCAATTCGGAGGCACTTGCTGGATGAACCAACGATACTAAGTCACAGAAATTTTGGTATTTTCAAGTCTAATCTAAAAACATATCTGCATATAATGTCCCGACGATAGCGAATATTGTATTATCTATGATGCATTTGCTCATTATGATGCCAATTTCTACTTCATTCTTCTGTTAGTTTGTGTTTCCACTGATAGAAACAGCTGCAGGTACCACTTCAACAAAAATTGTGTAGTCGTTCAATGGTCTGGAGACAACCCCAACAGCTTAGCAGGTGAATTCCTTGTTTTTTTCCGGTTTTTCACGATGAACAAGAACTTAAATTATTCTTTTTTTGCAAATGATGTTTTATCTACTGAAGCAGCTATTGTTTGTGCCACTAGAGATTCTAGTGCGTAGATGACTCATTTTATTTGCACATCCGGTTGCCCGTTGTAATGGAGATGTTCTAGATTATCTGTGGTTGTCCACACACCCGAACTGGTTTGGGACTGAGACATGGTAGCAGTTGTTGTTGAACACCATCAACAAGAATCCAATTTTCATCCATTGGCATACTACTACTAACTGAACCTTTGGATCCTGTAGGGTTGAACCTTAACACTTGTGGAGATCTGGCAATCAGTCTTGGCACAAGTGACACTGTAAGAGACTAAAAGCTTGCTGTCTTGCATACACACTTCCATTGCCTCTTTTCTAAGAAAAAGAGCCTTGCACTTATAACATGCTAAACACCATCAAAACAAATGTTGTTGTGAAAATTGGTGTACTTACCCCATAGATATATATATTTAATTGAAAGTGACAAGAGACTTTAGTTTCAAAGAGATGCATAGAGACATCTTATATGCAGAAGAGCCAATTTTCTATTTCCTTTTGCCCCTCTTTTTCTCTTGTACTGTTCCGAAGGTTGGATAATATTTGAGAGAAGAAAAAATCAAGAACTGTTATCTGTGCTCTTTTAACCCCTCCCCTAGGAGCTCCCACCTTTGCTCCCTTGATGACTTGAACCAACAACCTTAAGGTTGGAAGTGAGGGTTGCTTAATATCCGAGCAACTCCCTCTTGTCGTTATCTGTGCTCTTAGTAACATGATTTATATGTAATCATGCTGTTATCCAGGTCTTCGGGATTACCACTGACCATAAACCTAGCTTAGATGGCCATGTATTTCCTAATCCAGTAGATACCAAAAGCTTCATGGTAATGTTGGTCTACAAGAATGGGTCTTTGACTCGTGAAGGTACTCTGCTTGTATCTAATTTCCAAACTTAAAGGATGTCTGAAATTGGGGCACATCTTATTGGCAAGTGCTTGAAACCCTCGTAGATATACGTGATCGCTATGCAGATGGATCTTGGGAGGTTTTCAATATGTTTTTACAGCAAACACCACCTTTGAATGGTTAGTGAATTTTGATTCAGATCTCGTAAACTGTAGTTTCTTTATAAACATTGTACACTTGTTACTTGCAAAAGGTGGAAAGATTGGCTTTTATTACAAAGAGCATGAAATACTTCCTCCTCTTCCAGGTCAGTGCACTCCTAAAATACAACTAAACTGAAATAGACCAGTTGATTTATTTTTCATATCATGAGAAAATTATGATAAAACTCACAAGCTTGGTCTCCAGTTGGTTTCCACCGCTACATTCTTGATAATTTTACGGGTGACTCCATGGATGGAGTAATAGAACATGAAGTAGAGGAGTTTGATCCGCCTTCAGAGGTAAGTGGCCTTGTACTGAAGAAGTTATCTGAATCATGAAAGACTTTAATTAGCATCTAGAGACACAAACACAAATGGAGGTGACTGGTACTTACAGGTTCGAGCGTTAATTGAGGGGCAGTTACTCTCCATGCGAGCTCATACCGAGAGACTTGGAATGCCTTCTCCACCCAAAAAGATTATTGCAACTGGAGGAGCATCTGCAAATGATCATATCCTGACAATTATTGCTTCTATTTTTGGGTGCAACGTCTATACTGTCCAAAAACCAGGTAAACAAACTCATTCATATTGGTCTGCTGACAGTTCTCTTGAGCATACTGTTACATTGTTCTATACTGTCGGAAAGTCACTTTCTTTGTTGATAAAAACTGGAATATAATAACACTATTACTTGAGTGATCACATGAGAAAACAACCCCTCTACTGTTAGAGTGAAGGGATTTGGCCATACTCTTGTAAGAAGATTTTCAAGATGTTGTTGAGAAGTTGATGAAGAATTGCTTTTGCTTCCTTCAACAGATTCAGCTTCCCTCGGTGCTGCCTTGAGAGCCGCTCATGGTTGGTTGTGCAACCAGAAGGGAAAATTTGTACCCATCTCTGATATGTATATAAGGAAATTGGAGGAGACATCCTTAAGCTGCAAGCTTACGGTGCCTGCTGCAGATCAAGACCTTATTGACAAGTATACATTGTTGATGAAGAAGAGATTGGAAATTGAAAATCGTCTCATCCAAAGATTGGGACGTTAGTAAATTTTCACTCAGGTCATGTACTGCATCCACGTTTAACATGTTTTTACCATAGTGTTTTTTTTAAAAAAAATGGAGAAAAGGTCATATTTACCCTTTTACTTTGAGAAATGGCTTAAATATACTCTCCGTTTAAGTTTACACATTTGAATCCATGTTCCCTCATAACTTCTTTATATGTGTTGTACACTTCTTACTTGCAAGAGTTGAATAGGTCACTGTATTCAGGATGCATCCATGTTCCCTCATAAGATCCACAAGCTTCTTCCAACCTACCAACCTCAGACAATCCCTTAATCATTGCGTAAGATATGTGATCATATCAGGAAGATCAATCAAATCCATCTCTCATCAACCCCATTACGTCATCCATATCGCCTTTGTCACACAACAATCGAATAACTACATTATACACTGTCACATCTGATGGACAGTTAGACTCCTCAACACCCACAGGGCCAAGGTAGCATCTTTTACCTCCCTACACAAATTCAATAAACTTAAAGCTGCAGCCTATAAGCCTCAATGACATGTTGAACAATTGTGGTTCGTGGTCAATGCTGAGCAGTTTATAAGCTCTACTAGACATGTAACTGTTGTGCCTATAGCTGGGATAAATGCCAACCCAAGTGAAGAATCTTAGACACATTTGGGGATCAATAGCCGCGCATTTCTCTTAAACTTCATTATAACACATCTAGCATCTAGTTTAGCCTTAACTGTGTTTAGAGCCTTTTCCTTACCAGACCGATTTTATTTTTCAGCAAATGAGTTAAAATTCTCAGGCTTCAAGTCTGCAATATTTTGTTGTGTTTCAATCTGAATATTGGCGTATACTGAACCACAAACAAAGGAAGCAATGGAGAAAATGTAACATTGTTTTAAAAATATAGAAAGAGAGAAAAAAAACGCAAAACAGTTTAATCAAACAAGTACGTTTAACTTTTCATAGCATAAGAATTCATTTCAGCAAACAAGACACCATTAAAATACAAAATAGCAGTGATGTATCTAAGTGCAGCATTTGAAGAACACCCAAAGGAAAATACAAACCAACAAACAAAGCCATCATGTGTTTAGTATTCCTCGTGATCATCATCCTCTCCTTCTACCAAATCAGCACCAACCTCCTCATAATCCTTTTCCAAAGCAGCTAGATCTTCACGTGCTTCACTGAACTCACCTTCCTCCATACCCTCACCAACATACCAGTGCACAAAAGCACGCTTGGCATACATCAGATCAAACTTGTGGTCAATGCGTGAGAAGACCTCAGCAACACTGGTTGAGTTGGAAATCATACATACAGCCCTTTGCACCTTGGCAAGATCACCTCCAGGAACAACAGTTGGTGGCTGATAGTTGATACCACACTTGAATCCAGTAGGGCACCAGTCAACAAATTGGATGGTGCGCTTAGTCTTGATGGTAGCCACAGCAGCATTCACATCCTTTGGCACAACATCACCACGGAACATAAGGCAGCAAGCCATGTACTTGCCGTGGCGAGGATCACACTTGACCATCATGGAAGATGGCTCAAAAGCACTGTTGGTGATCTCTGCAACTGACAGCTGCTCATGGTAGGCTTTCTCGGCTGAAATGACAGGAGCATAGGATGAAAGCATAAAATGAATCCTAGGGTAGGGAACAAGGTTGGTCTGGAATTCATTGACATCAACATTCAGGGCTCCATCAAACCTCAAAGAAGCAGTAAGTGAAGAGATAACCTGCGTAGATTCCACAAAAATTAATACCTAAAACAACAGAAACTTTGCAGTCAAACGTACTGTATATGATGAAACAAACAATACCTGTGAAATAAGACGGTTAAGATTGGTGTATGTGGGACGCTCAATGTCCAATGAGCGCCTGCAAATGTCATATATAGCCTCATTGTCAAGAAGAATTGCGACATCAGTGTGCTCAAGAAGGGAGTGGGTTGACAGGACACTGTTGTAAGGTTCCACCACAGATGTTGAGACCTGTGGTGATGGATAAATGGTGAAACCAAGTTTTGATTTCTTTCCATAGTCCACAGAGAGACGCTCCAGCAGAAGTGACCCAAGACCTGAACCAGTTCCACCACCAACAGCATTGAAAACCAGGAAACCTTGAAGACCAGTACAGTTATCGGCAAGCTTCCTGATACGATCCAAGCAGAGATCAACTATCTCCTTTCCAACTGCAAACAAGACAAAAAGACAAATATAAGAACTTGATCAAGCTGAACAAATCCAAATACAGTACTGCAATAAGGTACAAATATTTACTTGTATAATGTCCACGGGCAAAGTTGTTGGCTGCATCTTCTTTGCCACTGATGAGCTGCTCAGGGTGAAAGAGTTGCCTGTATGTTCCTGTCCTGACTTCATCAATGACAGTAGGCTCAAGATCCACAAAGACAGCACGGGGAACATGCTTTCCAGCTCCAGTTTCACTGAAGAAGGTGTTGAATGCATCATCACCTCCTCCAACTGTCTTGTCGCCTGGCATCTGGCCATCAGGCTTTTGGGAGAAATAACAAAAACAAGATCGTCACTTCGTCAGCAATGCATCTAAAACAGGTTCTTAGCAACAGATACAATTCTAATGGATAACATGTTTTTCATATATCCAAATTTTTTGAGTAATGTCATATAATCTCACAAAAGAACCTAATTATTGAATACATTAGCTAAAAAATTTCCAAGTATAAGAGCATTAACTACCATTCATTCACAATAAATCCTACATGTGTATTCAGTTTTGCGCCTCGAATACATCAACAATCTCCTAAGGTACACTAGTTTTAATATAGCATTCAAGATGATCCACCTAATGTAGACATATAGACACATAAGTTTCTACTATACAACTATACTATGGACATTCATCCGATCTATTGAACATAACATGAATCTATCCAGAAAATTCGACTTTCAAATCATTTTGACATCATATTATCCAAACAGATCCATGTAAAAAAAGAATCACATTTGGACAGATTCAATCAAAAATTGATGTTACTCAAACAGATTAATGCATCAATAGATCTATCAAAAGAAGAGTGGATTCAAATGTTTCTGACGTCAATCAAATGTTATTTTCTATTACTCAAACACATGTGCATTCAAATCATTTTGATATCACCATTATTCACACAGATCCATATCATAACATCTGCAATTGAAAAGAGATTTATCATAAAGCACATTGATCTACCTAAATATATGCTGATTCAAATTTTTTTTTATATCAACGGGACTCGAAACAAATAATTCAAACAGATCTATACAAGAAGGCTTCGCATTTGAAGAGATCAAAGCACAACTTTTATATCATTCAAACAGATTCAAGAAGCACATTGATCTATGTATAAAATGCAAATTTAAATAAATTTTACATCTAAGGAACGTAAATTCAAAAATTCAAACAGATCTACACAAAAACAATTCGAAATTTAAGCTCGAAAAGATAAAGAGATGGTGAAAAATACAAACCTGAATGCCATGCTCAAGGCAGTAAAGTTCCCAGCATGCATTTCCGACCTGAATACCGGCCTGACCAATGTGGATCGATATGCATTCTCTCATTTTCGCTTTTTTGAGAAATCTTCAAATTTCAAATTCAAAACGAAAGGACGTTTATCAAGACGCCTCTCTTCCGAAGATTTTAAGATCTGATACATTCTCTGTGCTGAGAGGCCCTTTTTATACCAAGAACAACTCCCAAGAAAATAAAATCTTGCGGTTGAGAACCACGGTTAGTTAAACTTAACCGTGGTTATGATTGTTGCCAGCTAACATACCACTATTGGAACACAGTTATCACCATCCTCCAATCTAGATTAACCATGGTTAACTCCGGCCTGTTAATGTTAACTTTAATTTAAAATGTATACAATGGGTCCTTTTGTTTAATATACTCCTTCCGTTCATTTTTAATCGTTGCCTTGACATACCTATCAAATTTTTTTTTTATTGATATATGTATTTTACTACACTATCATTATTAATTGATGTTTAGTATTAGGTCTTGAAAGATAAAGTGAAGAATAAGTATTCAATAATAAGAGTCAAACATAAAAAATAAAAAATTATATTTCTTGATATGTCAAAAATGATAAGTAAAAATGAAAATATGTTGTTTAAGAATAAGTGACAATACAAGTAAACGAAGGGAGTAATTACAAAGAAAATTCAAACGTGGAAATATGACATAACACATTTTCAATTTACTGAGAATGGTTCTATAAAGAAGGTTATGAAAATCGTGAATTAGATTAGAACGTTAGCAGATAGTTAATCATTGTTTAATTAGGTTTTTCGCGAGTCTATACATGTTCCGCGTTCATACCAATAGAAGTAATATTTTTTTTTTTATAGTTTTTTGTCCTTGAGCTTTTGTTATTTTGCATAATGTTATGTGCTTTGATTATCATATTGTTACCATCGTTATTTTCTGAATGGATACGCTATATTTTCCTTGTTAATTATTATGTTATTCTTTTACTTTGATGTATGTTACTCATCTTAAGAATTTTCGAAAATAATTTCTCTGTCCGTACAAAACAAAAAGTAGGGGTAAAATCTACGGACTCGGTGGGAAGGGCAAAAATGTCAAAGAAGAAAACGTAATGGATAGTAATGCTTCGTTTTCACGTTTTGTACATTGTTGTGGGTTATAGCAAGTGGAAGCACATGATATGTTAAAACGGCAGGTCACCTTTCTGACAAATGGGACCATTTAAACTTCACAAGGAATTTTGCATTGTTAATTGAGTCCCTTGACTTTCGATGAAAGGAAAATGGATCCTCAAGGTTCTACATTTAACTCAATTTAGTCCCTTCACAAATTTTATCTTTTTCCGAATTTGACTTTTCAAATGTAAAATTTTGCATCGAGACTTTTCAAATTATATATTTCATGATTTTCTATTATTGCATAATTTATGTGAAATTGTATAAATTCAGAAGTATGAAATCTACATAATTATTTCTTATGGAAATTGTTGGGTTTTTCCTTTTTTTTTCTTTAACAATGATTTCTAGAAATTCTTTCAACTTTTATATAAGAACTTACAGTTACAAGTTTATTTTTCACAAACAATTACAAGTTGAATTTCATAGGATCTTTTTTTTTTAATGAAACAATAATATAATGTTTTGATTAAATGGGACGGCAATATATTGGGTTGGACCTTGAATTGCAAGTTGAAGGCCCATTTAGAAATGCAGTAACATAGTCCAAACACTCTACAAATAACCTAAAATATTACTTTTGAAAAAGTGCAATTTTCGGTAAAAATCCATGGGAAATATTTACTACTCCTTCTAGTTCATATTAACTAAAATTGTTGGATATGACACATTCATTAAGAATAAAATTAAAACCTACTATCCACCATTATTCTTTTAATTATTTTCCTAAAAAATGTGAAGTAGTTAACAACCTCTTTTTTTTTTAAAAAAGAAGATAATATGAAAGAAGAAGAAAAAACACACACATTAATTGTTTTGAACTTAGAGAAATTCACTTACTTTAAACTATGAAGAAATAGATTGAGGAACTCTAAGCATGTATATTGTTATGAAATTCTAAATTCAACTAGCGAATCTTCGTTACAGTGATTATTTTTTGGGATTTATTTTTTTGATGGACAGTTGTTTGTAAGTTTTTTCCTTAAAGGTTATTTTCTGGGAAAAATTACTAAAATACACGTCTTATGTTTCCCTTATTTCCGATATCCCCTTCTATTTCTAAAAACCTCTAAAATCTCTTATTTTTTTAATGTATCTGAGCCAGTATTTAATGTATCCGAGCTACATATTATGTATCCGATTTATTTTATAATGTATCTGAGCTAGTTTTTAATGTATCCAAGCTAGTTTTTAATGTATCAGAGCTACATATTATGTATCCGGTTTGTGTTACTTTTTAAGGGATTAATGTAATTACAAACTAAAGAGGGATAAATTGTAATTTCATATTAAAACTATGTGATTCCTAAAAAAAATAAAAATTTTGCCCATAAGATTCTTTTAGGCTAAAGTTGAGATGGGCTACTTCCCAAGAATACAGGCTCCTAAGAATTGCTGGGCTCGGCCCAAACTCTATTTTCACTGATGAATTTGCACGGTCTGTCGGCTCAAGTGAATGGTTTAGATTTTTGTCCTTTATATGAGTTTGTCTTTAATTTTTCCCTTCAAAATCAAATTTATGTCTAGTAGAGCACAAGTTCTTTAACAGTGAGGAACATAACTTGTAAAATATTATAATGCATAAATATAAATTTATGCCGCATGAAAAAATTATTTTTGTTTGGAAGTATAAATAATGGAGTAAATTCCAACACAAAGTAGGAACAAATATGAAAATAACCCATTCTATAAATCATTACAATTTTACAACTTAAAAGACGCTAAAAAGATTAAAGAACATAGTATGTTGAAATTTTGTTAGTCTAACTTAAATAAATAAACACATTTTTTTAATTAAAAGACTTTATGGACACATTAATTAACAAAGAGCTACTAAGAATTCCAAATATAATGAAAAATATTTGATTTTAATGATCAAACATTTACCTACTAAATATTAGTAGTTTTTTTCTTTTGGTTTCTCACCCTATATATGGTATCCGCATTGAGGTACAACAAAATTCAAAATCACACAGAAAAGTCTAACATTGGTTGCTACCTAACAATGACGACTATGTACCTCAATGCCTCAAATCCAAGACATTTGATTAAAGATGAAGAAAATACTTACCACTTCACCACAACCATGACCGGTCACCTATCAAGTTGTGTCTTGGTTCTAGTGATAGTAACGCTAAAACAAATTATAATGATACAAAAGAGTCCTTATAAATGAGATTCCTACAAGCAAGAATTTCGGGGAACAAAAGAGGTGGTCCTAAGTCAAACTGATATTGTTGAAAATGTGTATAACTACTCTCTCAGAGTTAACCAATATACAAACAGCTGTAACACTAGACATATCCCTTTCATCCTCAGGGTAAAAAAGTGAAAAACTATATAGACTGTCAACTGAGTATAGCAAAAAGAGCAGGACAAATTGTCATGTTACAGAAGCTGGATTCAGTAACTTCACAAGGATATGTCTTTGTTATTAACATCATGTCTCAACTTTTGAAGGCAATACCTTGTTTGAATACTTACTGCCTCAGAAAGCAAAGCAAAGCAAACCAAACCATTAACTGAAAGTGTTGAGTGAAGTTGCTCTCAAAACAGTCAAAAACTTCTCTCCAATAGAGTTTGCTCTTTTCCTACTTTGGTGCTTTTGAGAAGGATGCAAATGTAAATAATCACTTCTAGGCAAGTAAGCAAGAAACACAGAGATAAGAACAGTAGACTGACAGAAATAAGAAAAAAAATTGCTTTCGAGGTAGAAGTAAAGAATGTGTACGCTCTACCCTCTTCAGACCAGAATGACCCTATATCATACTGGATATGTTGTTGTTTGAATCTAGGTGCACTAAGTTGGCCCCATTATCATCATTTTTTTGATGACTAGTTGCTTTCAGCAAACATCAGCATAAGCAAATGAAAATGGTAAGTACAACAAGTTTTCTAAATTGAGCTGGAGGATTCTTTTTTTGCTTTCTTTATCTTCATAGTGTTGTACCAAAAGGATGGAAGAACAAGCCCTCAACTGGTAATATACGTATGAAAATGCAATCCGCGGAATGAGTAACTACAACAAGCAAGTTGTGAAGAAGAATTGAATTTGATACATCTTAAGCAGAACACAAAGTGAGATACGCAGCAATGCTAAGTGAAGCGTAACTACCTATCTCACTAGGGGTCAAGGAATATTTGGAAGCTAAATCACTCAACATGAGCAAAATCGGAAACTCAGGAATGCACTTCATCAAGATCTACAAACAGAAGTAATGTTCTCTGTAATAGGTAGTCCAAAAACACTGAAATGTCGTCTATTTCAAACAAAAAAAAGCAATCCTTTAATTGTACAAAAGTCTTAGATATCGCGAAACTAATGACTCTTATTACAACAAATAACTATTGTAGTCCCACAAAGTGTGGTCTAGGGAAGATAGAGTGTATTCAGACTTCAATTATCTAAGTAGAAGAAACAACATATTCTTATTGAAGTAGGGAAAAAGATGATTTAAGCATTTCCACAATTATTGGGGTGAGTGGAAGTCCATGCATAGGCCAATATTACCTCATAAGCACCAAATAGATCAAGCTGAACTTACTTGCATGAAATTGGATTATGCATAAAAGGGAAATGGGGACATCCATATTTTTCTTTCACTGAATTACCAGTAAGGAAATAGTGAGTTCTAAACAGAACAGTACCATCAAACATGAAGGCAAAAGGTGCACTACAAGGTGAAACAGAATCATATGAATTTACAAACTTCACAAGTCACAACAACATCATGACCTTTAAGAAATAAAGATAATAGATGTGCATATCGAACAATTTAAAGAGCTCCTTTCCGCCTTTTAATCGACAAAACAATACAGAAAGATAAAGTAATATTCCAAAATTAGTACAACAATAACTACACCTCAATTCCGAACTACTTGGGGTTATCAATAGCAATCACTTGTATCCATTCAGCAATATCTCAGAAACAACAACATACTCAATGTAATCCCACTAGTGGGGTCTAGGGAGGAATGTACCCTACCTTCAT